TTGGCTGGGTCTCCAGGGTTCAGCCATTGCGACGAGCGCTTCCGATTATCGTACAGTATCCACTTTTCATTACAAGTAATGATTCAATTTAAAATCCCTTCATTTTTCAACACAAGCGCCGTACACATCATTAATCCTTCGAGCTGTTTCTGCAGCACTGGTGCCACGGTAGAACTCGTACTCATAAATATACAGATATTTCATGTTTTCCATTGTGCGGTAATAAGCAACGCCAACGAAAAAAATAATGAGGAAAAAATAAATGAACGAGTGTTATTAAAACTCAAATGTACAAGCTAAATGGATTTATAAATGAATTTGGAATTCTTAACCCAAGAGGAGATATTTCAGATCAAAGTGGTAAGTGCGACAAAACGCTAATTTCATATGTAAGGACCCAATATAATTAGACAGATAAAAAATAGAAGATTTCATATGTAGAATGAAGGAAGTGAAGAGTAGATTAACCTCATTCTATTTAACCGTTGAACGTAGGTTCACCCATTACAAGTTTACAGGACTAGTTATATTCACCAAGCTTTCCTTTATACTTTTAATTTTAATCCCTATTATATATTATATGGATAGATATCAGAAGTCGGCTGACAAAGCCTTCTTTGTCAACCAACGGTTTGCAATTGGGGAAGAGGTGGGATACTAACCTTTACTTACAAGACTCTTAATTGTTTTTTTTTGTAATATGCAATGCTAAAATTTAAGTTTGAGGTTTTTAAAATTTATGACAGTAGTAGTAGTAGTGTATTAGAGTAATTCTGGCCTTGTTATTGTTTTTCATTATAACGAGAATCATTTTAACACGTTGCGTACGTTACCGGCCAATTTTGGCTTGTACATATACGTGACTTGCATTGGATGCGTCGATTAGTTGTTTCGTTTTTGCATGCTGTGCGGGGGTACTTTTACTATAAAATATTGTAAGAAGAGAAGAGGCAAATATATGTTTCGAATTGGCGTCTTAAATTCTAGCAATTTATGCTATCTTAATAATGCAAGTTATTTTTGTCTTGTATTATCAATTGTCAAAAATATTTATTGTGTGCTGTACCCGTAGAATACTATAATACACGGTAGAATGTATTATAACACAGAAGAATGGCTGTCAACCTTATTTTGTACGAGGATGAAGGAGGCGATGGCGTCGCTAAACCCTATTCGCTGTGTTGATAGACTGAGTAAATTAATTTACACATTTCAAAAAAATCGTTTTATTATTAAATTTGGAAACAATTGTAACGTCAAAACGCATCTCGTGTTGACATTTACACATGTGAATTGACATGTTAGTGACATTTTAGTGGCTACGTGGGCGCCGCCCACTCCCCCCGTTCTATTATGTACGCATTATAGTATTCTATGGCTGTACCATCAGTCATATGCGACTTGTACGCACTTGTCTGGTATGGCACCACTGGAGCAGGCAAATGACCCTCAGATAGGGGTTAGATGCGTTACTTGACCGAATATAAAGAAAATATCGTAATTTCATAATTTCAGGGCAGCAAAAAATTAATATGCCGTGGAAAATCCAAGTTTTAGACGTTTTCAATGTGTTTAACCAAACTTCAAATAGTGCCCATTTTCCCCATCTAGTTAAAGGAAAAAAGGAAAGAATTGTGCCCAATATTATGAAAAATTGCGTAAAGAAATTAAGAGTAAAGAAGCTCATAAAAGTGACAAGAGTAAAAATCTATTGTGGCAAATGTGATGTAACATTACGTTTGAACTGTTTTAATTACTCTCATTCGAATAGTCATGGAAAACCTAATAATTTGTAATGATAATTATAATATAGCTACTTTTCTTTTTCTTTTATTTTCATTTTTTTAAACTTTACCACCATCCTAGGATTTTCTTTTGTATCGTGGGGACAGTTTACAAACAAATTTCACAAGGACAAACATCCAAACCCGGAACAATTACTTGTAGGCCACACAAATACTTGTTCTGTACGGGATTCGAACCCGCGGCCCTTAGCGCTGTAACTTATTTCTAAGCCACTGCGCCACGGAGCTGTCGCTACTGATACTGTGCCGTTATTATTTTTAATTTTAACAAACCAATCTCTATTTTTTACATTTTTACCTGATACAAAATAAAAAATATATTTTGTTTTAGTTTCAGTGGCAGCATTAGCTATTTTGTCGATATATCTTAGGTTGCTAATCCTGCTGGCGCTATACCAGGTAAAAATTACTGGGTTTTTTAAAGCCTTGTATTTTCTAAAATACTAAATGCTGAAGCTACGTCACTTATTAGTTTTACTCTTATAATAGTAGAGGTTAGTAAATGGTCTAACTTAGGTTTATTGGGGAGATATAGACATAATGATGAAGGGATCTATACAAGTTTTTTATGTCTGGTAACGCACTAGATTTTAGATAGCGTACAAGTCATATTTTCCCCGTACAGCACTGTAACTCAGGAAAACAATTAATCGCAATCAACATGTTAAACAGTATGTATTATATACTCCATATATTATAATAGAAGACAATACTTTAAAATTATTTATAAATATAGCTAGTTTCGCGTGCTCAATAGTTTAATGGAATTAATTTATTGTACACTAGCTTTTCGCCACGCGGTGGTACTCGTGTCCATGTTGTAACGTTGACTGTCATGACCTACGCGTAATATGAAATTGCATAATATGGAGAGCTCAAGCTATCACATGAAAACATTCTCATTTTTTAATGATATCATTGGTTATCGTAATTTTTTTAGTGTTATCTTTTTTATCGCAAATGTTAATTGAGACTAAAGCATTTGCACAAAAGGAAACCACTATAAAAATCTTTCTTTCTTAATTGTTCACCATACACATATATATAAATAAACACACTCCGCCCCTCTTATTTACAGAGTACTTTCAGTATGTTTTGAGCTTTTGAGTATGTGTAGAGATAGACTTATTTCGTTGATAAGTGTAACAAGGGGATCCTAATCACTTAATTGGTTGACTTTTTCTATAGTTCGATACGATCAATTGTTATCTGATAGCGATGGAGCGGTTCATGCTATCCTGGTGGTAGGATTAATTTTCCGAATGTTGACCGCGCCTTGGTCACGCCCTAGATGCGAACAGCTAATTAATAGAGTTTTCGATAGGCACACAGGTGCGTGGTGCGCATCATGTTACAAATGCCATTAACATGATAAGCTCTGTCAACTCTGTCCCTGTTGGAATCCACGCTCATTTTCTACCTAATAATACTTTCTCATACAAATATAGACATTTGATATTAATTAGAACGCCTTTGACCACACATGATTAACTACATCGTACGTAATACGTACGCAACTACTTCATAACGTTTCAACTTGATAAATTAATGATTGGGAATTTTCCCACACAAGTTTTATGCTTGAGTACTTTTCTTGTTAATTAAGCATTGGCACGCACACAAAGTTGACATTTACCGACATTCTTTAAATAAGGTACTTGCCGGTAATAAGGCCTGTCGGCTAATAAGGCCTAAGTAAAGAAATCATATTATAATAGGTAATTAATAACCGCTCCCGCTCAAGGAGATAGCAACAGACTCCTATTCCACGATAATGTCTCTACAAGTTTGCAGAGACGTGCTATTCCGCGTCTTGCCACCAGAGTTGTATTATCTATCATAAGATACGTCACTGCTCCAATAATAAAAATTAGTCCAAATAAATCTTAGATATGTTCTGTAACGTTACACTTAGCTATCTAATATCGTTATCTTTATCTTTGTGAATTAATCTTCATTTTTTTTAATTTCCATTTTATTAAATACTTATTACACTCCCTCTTTGTGTGTAGTTTTTTTGTTTTATAATGTACCTAGCTTGTCAGGCAGACGTCGTTCTGCCCTTTTCGACGACGCTTTGTCATGTCATATTGTCCTATACATGGGCAAAAAAAACTATCCTATCTCTCAAGTTGGACCAAACTGCACACGGTGTGTAAATTTGATTAAAATCGGTTAAGTAGTTTAGAAGTCCATTGCGTACAAACAACGAGACACGTGTTTTATACCACTTTTAAAATGTTATAAATGCAAATAAATCGTACGCTTTTATTACTAAACTAATGTTAACGATCTGGTTTCAGCTGTTCAAACAGTGCAAAGACAAAGTGTGTCGTACAATAGTTAAGACTTTGACATTAAAAGCTATTAAATTATGTGTAAATTATTGGTCCTGCGCGTAAGCTCTCTCGGACTGTGTCGGATTGCGGTTTGATGATTGTGAGGGAATAGAGAGTGCACCTGTGCTTTCGTATACATTCGGACACTATAATTCTGTAGGTACGGTGTGTGAGCTAGTCTTCGTGGAGACTGGCCGCTGTGACAATAAATCTGTTGGGAGGACACTCAAAGCAGCAATCAACCCAACTCTGAACTCAACACAACCGACGTACTGATGGTAATCACGAGGAGTGCATTTATTTGTCAGTTTATTCATCATTATTCTAATGGCTTTAAGTGCTGTTAGGCGAGGAAATTTTTTTTTTTGGAATAGGTTAGCATTCATGTGATTATTGATCACAAATATTAAATATATTACGCAGGGTTTGATTATTTAAGTTCGTTAGTAGGCCGGCCTTACTACCCTACTATAGTAAAATAAAACCTACTCGCAAGGTTTTTAGAAATGTTCAATTTTTTTTTCTTTATAGCAAATAAGAAAATTTATCGTTCATAATTTACGGAAACTGTACTAAGTCAATTATTTTTATTAAAATATGTACACCAAATTGGATTTTTCTAACTTTTTTCGGATATACTTTAGCTAGGCCTTATATATGCAGGTACCCATATATGTCGCATCATTTAAAATTTGAATTGAAATTTCTAGTTGGTTCTTATATTTAACATTATAATGTGTTAATTATTAAATATAAAAATCATAAACTAATTCCTAAAAAATATCTTAATAAAATTATTCAGAGCGAAATATAAGTTTTTTTAAATAATCAGGTAGGCAACGATTCTTCTTTTCAGAAGCTTTTCAAACTGAAGGTCCAATCATCATACCGCTCGAAAAAGAAATAGTGTTAGAAAAAGGTCAGAATCTCACGCTTAGATGTAAAGGAATGAATGCATTGCAATTTAAGCAACAAGAAATCCCTGAAGAAGTCATTGGATCGAAATTTATTAAAACACAAAGAACTACAGAATCTTCTGACCCTAAATATAAATACGAAACTGAACTCAGCTTGTATAACGTCGACCAATTTTCAGTCGGTTACTACGCTTGTTTTGATAGTACAGTTAATGGCAGCGATATATTAAACAATGTAATGGAGGAACCGAATGACACCGAACACATCACTTACGTTTATATCTATGTTAATGGTGAGATTAATTTATTCAAAATATTCATTCTGAAACAAAATAACATGCATGACTCGTTTATGTTGAATTGTGTATATTTTAGGCACGAATAGCTTGTTCGCACCCATGAGGGAGGTCGTAAAAGCCAGAAGCGGGTCAAAGGTCGTAATTGAATGTAGACCTACGACACCGGACATAAAAGTTACACTTGTGGGGGTATGTATGTAAAATATGCCAACGTACATGTTTTGGATGTCATTTAAATAGTTTTTCATCGTATCAAAAAATGTACAGGTCTATGAATGTCTATACATTTTAATATTAATTGCTTTGTCATTAATTGTAGTTAAATATTCAAACAATGAGTATTCAACAAACCATTTAGTTAGCTGAAAGTACTAGCATGTTCTTGTTTCTTTTAAACTAATAATAGCATTATGCCTAATGAGGCATAGTTATTTTGTTTATGGAAGTAATGTCTATTACTGTTACTTAATAAATTATTTGTCAAATATTTCTTAACAAAATCGACGTTGCCTCATTGAAGGTTTACAATGATAAAACAAACTAATGCTTATTGCAGACGAATAATTTTATACTAAAGCATGGATTCCAATGTTTAATTGCTTCAAATGGTTCCCTAACAACATTCTTAATATTCAGGACTTTCCAGACATTGAATATGAGCAATATGATCCTAAAGTTGGGTTCACCCTTGATAGTGATGTTTTTTCGGGTCTTCCGATAATCATTGTGAGTTGTGACGCTAAGAGGCGAGATGGTTTTGCGGAAAGAAAAGACATATTTGTACATAAACGTAGGTGATTAGAAGATGTGTGAACTTTAATAATAATGTCACCGATCACATACACGAAAACATTTGAATTCCAAATATAGTGCTCAAGTAATTTTTCGTGAATGTGGTTTTATATGTCCATTTTTTCAATTTAATTTATATATAATTATTATATTTTATAAATTCATATAAATTTCATATGTTAAAATTGAAAGAGTGCATATATTGGTACATATCCATTTACTCGTACTAACAACACGTTATTTATCTGGTAATACGATACTAGCCGCAGAGTAACAAGACACCAGAATTAGTAAAGTTCTCTCCAAAGATTGGATTTTTAGTCAAAGCGAGTAGGGTCGCTTACAAATGCGAAGGACATCGCGGAAATCAAAGCTCTTGGAAAACTATACGTATGTGTAAGTAGATAGTGCTGAAGCTTGATGTCACATAACGAGGTAGCGTGGTGTGATGGTTTCATTTAGTTTTTGAGTTTTAATCGAATTCATTTTGTATTTATAGCTTGTCGCTTGTGACTTATTTTCTTTCTTTCCTTCTTCTTTGGTGTGTTGCTCTTTGTGTGCATTTATATGTAATTGTATGACTACTAACTTACTAACAGGATGTATTAAATGTACGAATGTTGGGTTACATTTAGTTTCATGATAATTGTACAACGTACATATTATGTACCTATGTAAATACGATATTCAAAAAATTACTAATGAGTTTGTCCACCAACATATTTTGGCCCGTTTTAATGCAAACTTTACCAATGACATACTTATTCAAAAGCTAGTGTTAATTAGAATGGGTGGGATTGGGCAGGCTCTTATTGGTGTGCACTCCTGTTTCAACCTTACAAGTTTATTTATTCAGGATTTAATAATGGTTTTTGGTTTGAACGGGGTTTATGTAATATATTCGAGACAAATGTGTATAATTTTTGATTCAGAGAAATAAAGTTATTCAGAGGTTAATCCATAATACTTTTACATAGGATTAGACTTTTCATAAGTAATTTATATTTTAAGATTACCTAGGTAGTTGAAGATACAAAATATTTTTTGACGCGTGCTGGTGAAATGAGTAGTGTTGAACGTCATCTTTAAATTATTTTTATTTCATCTATTTTTATGAACATGCAATTATTTATTTATTTGCTTTCTATGTTTATATTTATATGTAATTACAATTTATTTAATTTGATGTATTTGTTTTCACAGTGATTAACTTGTTGAATGTTTTATATATTCAGTTTATAGATATAACATTTATTTGTAGATTCGAACGTTCCACCACCTGAGCCAAAAATAATTGGTGGATTACAGTATTATCTTGATGGAGAATATTTCTCTCTTAATTGTACAGTCAAATATCAAAGTAATTCTGCCTTGGCATTAATTTGGGAGACGCCGAATCCGACATCAAAGGTACATTTAATATAAATTTACAGGATATGTACACTTAATATTTTAAGCTATGATTCAAATGCAAATTTCAACGAATTATATTTTTAAGGTATATCTTAGAACTAACGAGAATGAAACGACTGGTGGAATTTTATATTCCAATATAACGATAACGAATGCTACAGTGGAAGACGCAGGAGTTTACACATGCGTTTCAAAAAATAGCTACGGGCAAAGGAACGTTTCCTTTGAGAAGAAGCATTTAGGTAAATTGTGTTAATAAAGTTAACAGATAAATATTGATTGTTTTGTGTTATGCTTTATCGTTTTGTGTACTAATGCCTACGCTGCTAGTAATTAAAATTTTCAGTTAGATTAGGTAGTGGATTTGAAATGCGGAACAATACGCTTTTTTAAAACTGTTTACTTATCTTCTATCTCTATTAATAAAAAATGTTTACTTATCTTATGTTTTATAAAATACTCCACAATTTAATTGTTTTGTTTTGAAATCTTTGTTTTTACTTCCGTAATACCTCGAGGTAAACAGGATCAATAGAAAAGCGTCAATATTTTTTATGAATGTACAATTTTTAAAAGTTTTACTTTTTTGTTCCTTTTAAGACTCAATTTAGAATAAATTATATTATTAATTAAATTTTGAATTTTAGATACCGGGTTTATAAATTTAACAAGAGGTGGCAAAAGCGACCCGATTGAAACGAGTCAAAGGATATTTCGATTATTGTCGTACATAAACGACTATCCACCGGCACATATTGTTTTGTAAGTATGAGTATTGATTTAGTTCGTAAAAACTTTTAAATTTCTTCAAGCTTATTTTCTGCAATCCATAAACACAAACATTCTTTATTTGGAGATTGTTCTTTTGCCCATCATTTTATTATTTTTATTTGTCTCCTCTGTAGTGTTAAGCTACTTACATATAATTTTACACTATTTTAAATTTATTTTTCCATTCTGTTTTTGATTTTCTGCATTCACCTCAAAACTGGATATTTTGCATCACCTTTATTTCCATATGATCCTGTAACGTTTTAAACCACAAGAACACAATAACAAATCATTTTCACTTCGTATTTTCATGCTATCAGCACTTTTTAAATCGGTGTCAATGGAGTCTACCTTTTTCGACCTTTTATTTAGTTCTCCGTAACTCTGCAATTTCGCGCTTTGTGCGCGCTGTTGCGCTACCTTTTTTCCTATATCAATAATATCTCATTTTTCACTTAAATCTTGCCGTTTCTCTATTACGAGCCTAAAACCAAAATTAGACATGTTTTGACATCGTTGTTTATCTGGTTGTCATGGAAATTTTTGTCTGATGTTTTACTTCAAAACTTCCACAAAAATACTCTTTTTTTCTTGGCCATTTACAAAAATTTGCTTTTAATTTAAATAATTTCCCGTTCTTTTCACAAATCCGTCGTCGAGCGCGGAGCTCTCTAAAAAAAAGTACAAAAGCCGAACAATCGGCCAATAAAGTGAGTCTCGCTTCAGCTTTCATACTAGAAGTATCTCCTAAAGGCCTTATCCCGGGGCCGCACTGCCCCGGGATCCTGCAAGCCTCTGCCTTCATCTGAAGTCGTCGTCTAGCCACGCCTACGCCTCCACCTACTAGTGCCCGCGCTATCTTTAGCCGCTGTGCGTGCTTGCTTCAAGCACTGCGTGTGCCTACTCCGGGCGCTGCGTGTGCCTACTCCGGGCGCTGTGTGTGCCTACTCCGGGCGCTGTGTATGCCTAGTTCAAGCGCTGCGTGTACCTGCTCCAGACGCTGCGTGTACCTACTCCAGACGCTGCGTGTGCCTACTCCGGGCGATGTGTGTGCCTAGTCCGGGCGCTGTGTGTGCCTACTTCGAGCGCTGCGTGTGCCTACTCAAGACGCTGCGTGTGCCTAGATCAAGCGCTGCGCACCTACCACAGGCATAGCCTGTGCATACTCCGTGAGCAGTGAACACCACTGCCAAGCGCGGTGTGCCACCTTGGTCTTCGGGCTCCGTTTCAGTACTCATTTATCTTTGTTATTTAAAAAAAATTGTAATTCACGTCACCCATCATCATCTTCATATTTTTTATATAAAAGAACTGTAAATATCTTTTAAAATTTTAAATAAATTATTCGTTTTTTTTGTTGTTTCGTTGTTGTTAGGTTAGGTTCTTTTGTTTTTAATTGTCGCTAAAAATATGAAGATGATGATGGGTGACGTGAATTACAATTATTTAAAAAAAATAAAGATAAATGAGTACTGAAACGGAGCCCGAAGACCAAGGTGGCACACCGCGCTTGGCAGTGGTGCTCACCGCTCACGGAGTATGCACAGGCTATGCCTGTGGCAGGTGCGCAGCGCCTGATCTAGGCACACGCAGCGTCTGGAGTAGGCACACGCAGCGCTTGAAGTAGACACACACAGCGCCCGGACTAGGCACACACAGCGCCCGGAGTAGTCCCACGCAGCGTCTGGAGTAGGGACACGCAGCGTCTGGAGCAGGTACACGCAGCGCTTGAAGTAGGCAAACACAGCGCCCGGAGTAGGCACACACAGCGCCGGGAGTTGGCACACGCAGCGCCCGGAGTAGGCACACGCAGTGCTTGAAGCAAGCACGCACAGCGGCTAAAGATAGCGCGGGCAATAGTAGGTGGAGGCGTAGGCGTGGCTAGACGACGACTTCAGATGAAGGCAGAGGCTTGCAGGATCCCGGGGCAGTGCGGCCCCGGGATAAGGCCTTTAGGAGATGCTTCTAGTATGAAAGCTGAAGCGAGACTCACTTTATTGGCCGATTGTTCGGCTTTTATACTTTTTTTAGAGAGCTCCGCGCTCGACGACGGATTTGTGAAAAGAACGGGAAATTATTTAAATTAAAAGCAAATTTTTGTAAATGGCCAAGAAAAAAAGAGTATTTTTGTGGAAGTTTTGAAGTAAAAACACCAGAACCAGATAAACAACGATGTCAAAACATGTCAAATTTTGGTTTTAGGCTCGTAATAGAGAAACGGCAAGATTTAAGTGAAAAATGAGATATTATTGATATAGGAAAAAAGGTAGCGCAACAGCGCGCACGAAGCCCGAAATTGCAGAGTTACGGAGAACTAAATAAAAGATCGAAAAAAGGTAGACTCCATTGACACCGATTTAAAAAAGTGCTGATAGCGTGAAAATACGAAGTGAAAATGATTTGTTATTGTGTTCTTATGGTTTAAAAACGTTACAGGATCCTATGGAAATAAAGGTGATGCAAAATATCCAGTTTTGAGGTGAATGCAGAAAATCAAAAACAGAATGGAAAAATAAATTTAAAATAGTGTAAAATGATATGTAAGTTGCATAACACTACACCTCTTGGCCTCCGACTTTATCTACTCTCGGAATCAAATAGAGTGATACGTAAGTACTCCTACTAAGCAAAGTAAGTCAATAAATGAAATAGTGTGTTAGTGATTATAAAAGATGATTTCTCAATTTAATTATTATTTCTAGGCTAAAACATGTCGAGTATACCACGCTCTTGGATATTTATTGTGAATATATTACTTACATATTTATAAACATGATTTGTGAAACTACTTTAAAACATCTATAAAATTGGCTAAATAATTTAAAAAAAAAATATAGTTGAGGCAAAATTATTTACATTTACTTTTATGCATCTAATTGAATGTTATGGGTTCTGGTATTAATTATTACTAAAGATTTAGTTACAATAAAACTGTACTAGGCTAACAAACCATACTTATCCATTATATTTGTTTTGAAATTGTCAGTTCAGTCAGGCAGTAAGACAAAGCTTTTGTTCGAATAAACAGCTAAGTAAAATTCAGTCAGTAGAAAAGGCCTACCCCTCTGGGTGACAGGCGTGAGTGTTTATAGATATAGATATAGAAAAGGCCAAGTACAAATACAAATAAACCAGTACCAACATCAGCTTACGAAATGCAACCATAAAAAATTAAAATGATATTTTTGGTTATAATTATGTATTACTATTACATTACAGCTTCCGCGATGGTAAAGAATTATCTATGAATAAATCAAAGTACGACATAAGAAGAACTGATTCTGGAGCCGTGACGTTGCTTATTAGAAATTTGACCGTGATGGATACGGCAAATTACACTTGTGTTGCAACAAACCAGTTTACATCAAAGAGTGTAACATTTGATTTGAGAGTTAAAGGTAGGTAAATAACTTTTAAGGGGCTAACCGGTATCTAATTTTAGCACGTTTAATATAAGCAAATTTTTCAAGTAATCCGCGTAGTTGATATGGTATTTTATTATCATGCAAAGTTTCTAAATATGTCAATTTAAATTAAGGACGCGTTTACAAAATGGATAGGTATAGAATCGCACTACTACATTGACAAAAGTCACACACACACTAGTGTACGCACGGTTGGCTGTGGGAATCGTAGTCAAATGAAATTATTTTGATAATTTGAAAGATTGAATTTGTTTTTCATTTCTTATACCTACCTCAGAAATATACTTCGATACGAAATATGAATACCTGCTCCAAAGACTGCTTGGCACTGGAAGCCCTCTACTGGTAGTGAGATGTTAGCTCTGGACTTTGAACTGGTTTTGTCAGTTATAATAAGACCTTACCTACCTGCGGACTTGATGGAGTGACCTGAAGGTGTAATTTGGTGATTACAACAATAGGAACTCCTAGACTAGTGGAACTAGGTGTGCCGAGTTTGGGTTCGTTTTGTTGGTTATGATGAGACCTTACCACCGGACTTGATGGAGTGACCTGAAGGTGTAATTCGGTGATTACAAGTGGAACTCCTAAACTAGTAGAACTAGGTGTGCCGAGTTTGGGTTCGTTTTGTTAGTTATGATGAGACCTTACCACCAGACTTGATGGAGTGACCTGAAGGGGTAATTCAGTAACTACTGCTGGAATTTCTGAACGAGTAGAACTAGGTGTGCCGAATTTGGGCTCCGTTTTGTTAGTTATGACGAGTCCATACCTCCGGACTTGATGGAGTGACCTGAAGGTGTAAATCGGTGATTGCAACTGGAACTCCTAGACTGGTGGAACTAGGTGTGCCGAGTTTGGGTTCGTTTTGTTAGTTATGATGAGACCTTACCACCAGACTTGATGGAGTAACCTGAAGGGGTAATTCAGTAACTACCGCTGGAATTTCTGAACCAGTAGAACTAGGTGTGCCGAATTTCACTCCAGGTCTAGGAGTCTAGGAGTTCCATTTGTAACCACCTGATTACACCTTCAGGTCACTCAATCAAGTCCGGTGGTAAGGTCTCATCGTAACTAACAAAACGAACCCAAACTCGGCACACCTAGTTCTACAAGTCTAGGAGTTCCACTTGTAATCACTGAACTACACCTTCAGGTCACTCCATCAAGTCCGGAGGTATGGACTCGTCATAACTAACAAAACGAAGCCCAAATTCGGCACACCTAGTTCTACTCGTTCAGAAATTCCAGCAGTAGTTACTGAATTACCCCTTCAGGTCACTCTATCAAGTCCGGTGGTAAGGTCTCATCGTAACTAACAAAACGAACCCAAACTCGGCACACCTAGTTCTACCAGTCTAGGAGTTCCAGTTGCAATCACCGATTTAGACCTTCAGGTCACTCCATCAAGTCCAGAGGTATAGACTCGTCATAACTAACAAAACGGAACCCAAATTCGTCACCCCTAGTTTTACTCTGCAAGAAGTTCAAATAGCGGTCACGAAAGTACACCTTCAGGTCATGCCATCAAGTCCAGAGGTAAGGTCTCATCATAACCAACAAAACGTGCCCAAACTCGGCACACCTAGTTCCGCTCGTCCACGAGTTGCAGTAGTAGGTAAGTTTATATATCCTACTTATTTTAGCTAAATAAAAACTGTGAGTATAAAAATAATAATTTTATCACTTGTCAAGTACTTATGTTTCCAATTTGTTTTTTTCTAATATTTTGTGTATGTACAGCGATCTTTTCAGAATGAGCCGCTGCAAACAGGCGGTACAGTGTCCACTCACGACGGCGGCCGAGCGCGGACTGCGGTTTCATCGAAATCTTTGTACAATAAATCAAAGCAGGCACCGACAATAAAATAGCCCTTATTGCAATACATTATGATTCATCCGTATTACCAAAATATGTGAAAAAATGTGCATCAGTTTTTATTTTTTTTACGACTATTTGTGACATTTTGTTAAAAAATAAACCCAGGGTTTTTTAATTGAATATGTCTGTCATCTTATAGTATTTTTTAAATTTTTTAAATATGTTGATAATAGACCAAAACATGCACCGAAACACAAGCCGGTATCGTTAATTTTGTAGAAAATGGCAACGAAAGTTCGTTTTTACAATATAAAAAACTACTATTTTCAACAAAAGAGTTACAGACATTTGCAGATGAAGAACCAATCTATACATGGTAGTTTTTACTTATATTTGATTTGGTTTAGTTTTGTCACAAAATCTACCGAAAAACACCCTAATTTTGGTTGATTTGCAAACGCGTCCTTAAATAATTGAAATAAAAGCTGTGATTTTGAATTGTTGGAGAACTTGTATTGTATCTAATATTTTTTTTTAATTTCATTATTTAATTTAATTGCAGCTTCTCCAATAGTTGATTTTGGGCCTGACGCTGATAGAAAGTATGTAGAGAATACTGTGGCAAATCTACAATGTAAGGTAATAGGTTATCCTTTGCCCACAATTGATTGGATATTTACTAATGATCAGGGTGATGAGCAAGCGTTAGTGGTATGTATATATGAGTTTTAATTAAATCTTTAATGACGTAGTTGAATATGAACGTAAAACTTATTGCTAAAGCTCAAAAAATTGATAGGTATCACTAGGGTATAACAAGAAAACAAAGGGAACAACTATGGTTAAGTTTAAGTAACTTTTAGATATATTCAAACTATAATCTTTAACATGTAACACATCAATAGAAAAGCTTTGTTATATACATATAAGTCCGCCATTGCAATTTTTGTGTTTTTTTTTTAATAGGAAAAGGGTGACAAGCGAGCACACAGTCCACCTGATGGTAAGTGGTTGCTGTGGTCCATAGACATCTACATCTATCTTCCATTACGAATCTATATGCAGATGCGTTGTCACCCGTGAGGACTAAGATGGAATGCCTCGTTTCCAGTAAAAAGGGTCTCCGGTTCTCTACACTCACCACACGAAACACAGCAGCATTAAGCTACTATTTAACGATTCTGTGAGAGCGTGGTCCTTCCCCGGTCGAGCCGACCCATTCGTGCTACAACTATACTACTAATATAACTGCAGCATGGCTCTACCACGTATAAATGAGAATGATTTCCTGAGAATTTATTTTTAATGTCTCGCTGAGTATTGTGTCCTCATATCAAATCATCTTTCTGGTTAGAACTAAAAATAATAAAAAAGCTAAAACTAACTAAAAATAACAAAGTCAACTGCCAAGCGTGACAACTACGGTAAATATCCCCCATATAAGGCTATCTACGGAGGAGGTCTTTGTTCAGCAGTAGACCTGTGACAGGCTGTAGTAAACGGATCAATGAATATAAACAAATGAATAAAAAAAACATTAAGTAATCTTCAAAGGTGTTATGTAGCTGTTGTTATTCCCGTAAGGTTTGCATTAATATAAATTATTTTTCAGTCCGATAAAAATATAGCAACATTGAATACAGTAACATCATATCTCCCAATACCAGTCCATACATCTGGTAACATTACTTGTAAGGCTTCAAATGCAATTGGTTCAGCATCAGCATCCAGGAAATTCCTTGTATATGAAGTGCCTGGTGGTTTTGGTATAAAACACAGCAACGAAACATGGTTTTATGAAAATCAGAATGTGACTATGACATGTCTTGCTTCGAAATATGATTTTGTGAATATAGTATGGGTGGGAATAGACGGCGTAGAATTAGAGTCTGGTGAGTGTGATATTTAGTAAATGAACAGTTAGTTTTATTATAATTGGATTCACATCTTCAAATCGGTGATTGAAATGTGCTTCTGTTACAGTGGAATTTTTTGAGAATCCATTTTCTTACGTTGCGAAGCTAAAATTAGAAAACATATCTCCACTCCAAGCCGGTAACTATACGTGTTACGCAGTGAGAATGGATGATACAGAAGAAAGTCAAACTATATCAATCACTGTAGCAGGTATATGTTTAATGTTGGTTTTATTAACTGTTAAGTTGTACAAGATTTTAAATTTTTAACTTAAATACTTAAATTATTTTTTGCACATTTAAAAATCATAATTTGAATTATTATCAATACATTTATTTTACTTTTTATCGTAACTAATATAAATTGTGTGTAGGTATATTGTATTACGATCCATGTTAAATATGAAATGATATTTGTAGCAAAATTTTAATAAATTGCTGTATACTCTTAAATGATTAAGGCTACTTAACTAAAAGGAAAAGAGGTGGCTAAAATTACATAAACATAAACACTCACGCCTGTTACCCCTCTGGGTGACAGGCGTGAGTGTCAGAGACTACAGACTTCCATTTGGCACGATCCTGACACACCTCTCTCGCCTCCTTCACATCCATACACCTACGCATGCATGCTCGTCGGTTAAGGGTACTCCTAATTTGGCCCGTTTTCAATAAATCGCCAATTTGGTCGATAAATTTTCGCCTAGGACGTCCCTTTCCTACTCTGCCATTCACTTCTGCAACATAAATTTTCTTTGTCACTCTTTCCTCATCCCTTCTTTCCACATGACCAAACCACCGAAGCATTCCTTTCTTAATCCTGGTCACAACATCATCTTGCAAACCACACTCTTCTCTTATCACACAATTTTTCACCCTGTCATTCAGATTCAGCCCTAACATACTCCTTAACGACCGCATTTCTACTGCATTTATTCTACTCTCGTGCTTCTTCTGCCATACCCAACTTTCACTACCATACGTTAAAGTAGGGACCAACACAGCATTGTGAATTTCCATACGTGCCTTTTTTGACACATTTTGACTCTTCACAATAGAGTGCAGGGCTCCATTTACTCTGTTTCCTGCATTCTCTCGTCGTTCTATATCCTTATCATATCTCCCATCCCTGCTAAATACGCAACCCAAATATACAAACTCATCTACTTGCTCGATCAACTCCCCTTCTATTCTTATTTCACATATCGTTTTACTTTCATCTCTTTCAAAAACCATAATTTTTGTCTTACTTGCGTTCACTTTCATACCCCTTTCTTTTAATGATCTGTTCATTAATGTAACCATCATATTCTTAGGAAATTACAATAACTTTTGAGAAATCGGTGTGTATGACATCAATTTGTAAGACTTTATAGTCTTTCAATTTGCACTAGTTTGATGTGTAGATTATACATTTTTCTAAACATCAATTTAATCTGCACGTGAAGCGCCCTTTTGAATAACGGATGAGACTGTTACGCATGACCAATAGCGCAAAATTCATAAATACATCCAAATTTCCGTATTCAAACTTACCTCTTGGTAACGACTGGCAGCATTTATGATTTAGGGCGACGTGACGGTAGTCAAACACCATCAGATGGGCCGCATGCTCGTTTGCCTTTCTCCTATAAAAAAAGGGAAGTAAGCCACGTAATAAAAATGAAGTTGACTATGAAACTAGTGGGTATAAGAGTAGAGGAAGGTCTAAGTAAAAATGGACAATATATTAGGGATCATATGCAAGAAACGAGTGAGTGAGGAGATGCCAAGTAATATTGGAGAATGGAAGAGGAATACATGCTGCCTACATATATACAATAACTTTGGATAAGGGTGGATAGAAGAAGATTGTCATATATTATATAATTATTCAAAGATTTCAAATAAGAGCAAAGCAGTGGACTTGTGAAGGGATGTAATGATGATCATGATGATGACCCATCCATTACATCGAATAAAACTCCATTGTTGAATACAGGATTTCGCATAGACAGTCTCATGATGGGGATTAAGTCACGAGTACCGTCTGACAACAAGGCATAGTATTATGATGTCTGTCTTCAGACTGTTTCTGACCATACACCTATATTAAACGAACGTAAATACGTGCTATTGACTTAACAATGGCTTAGAATATGCTCAGATAGTTGTATATATCATATTATTATATTTTGTAAATATAATAATATGTGTAGCTCTTCAATATTACGTTTCCATATGCCAGCTGTGCACTCTTATTAGATGTAACTGATGGATGAATGGATGTAATGGAAGCAGGAATTGCGTGACGTGGTGACGAGTATATAAGATTTCTCCTATGACGTCGATTTTTGTTTACATCTCTTTTCGATTTTATCGGAATTCAGATAGCAAATAATAATAGATTAGACATTGATTCTACTGTTTAATAAAAATAACGATAGTTTTATACCAAATATGTATTTATACATGCTGAATTCAAAATGTTTAATTTTATATAGCGATAAAACCACCCATTATAATTGAACCAAAAAAAGAGCAGAATGAAGAAGTATATCCATATCAACCACTTCAGCTTACTTGTCAAGCGGAAGCTGTTCCACCTCCACGCATTGAATGGTATAAGGTCGGTAAAGGAAGCTTGTTTTTTAATTACAAAATATTATGATCAGAAAAACATTATTTATTCCATAAATTCTTGCTTCAGGATGAAATAATTTTACAAAACGAGACCAATACTGAGATTATTACAGAAGCCTTAGACCACAGTAAAGTAAATTCAACTGTTTTAATAAAACAAATGTTAGAAGAAAATAAAGGCAAATACAAGTGTGTTGCTGAGAGTAGAGGTGAAACTAAAATAGGACTTTTCAATATAGCTATAAAAGGTTTAACCCAGTTACATTATGTTAATATAGTTTTGATTTACAAAAGATATTTTAATTGAATTTGATTGTTTTGTAATTTCAGAGAAATCAACTTATAAGACGGCATACTTAACCGTTATAGGAGTAATAGTTTTTGTATTAATATTGTTGATCGTTTACCTTGCGTGGAAGATTCGCAAGGAAAAGCAATTTAGAAAGGAACTTGCAGCGGCTGGATTGTTGTATTTTAAAGAAGGTGTAACTAGGTCTCTTAATCCTGAATTAGGAATTGATGAACAAGCGGAGCTTCTACCATATGATGAACGGTTTGAGTTTCCACCAGAAAAACTTGTTTTAGGTATATTTTGCATAATATTAAAAGATATTTAATGTATAATAGATATAAAAATATATAAATAAGACAGTTATTAAATCACTAACCATTTAGTGTTATTACCTTCTAACGGACAGTTTTTTTTTCAATTAGTGATATTGTTCAGTTTGACAACTGATGCTGTGGTTCATAGACAACTATACCTATCATCGATTAAATATCAAAATGCAAATTTGTTCTCAACTCTTAGAACTAAGATGGAATATCTCGTTGCCAGTAAAAAGGGTATCTGGATCTCATCCCTCATCATCCGAAACACAGCAGCATTATGTTGTAACCATACATTCATTCATCATTACAGCCCTTCACAAGTCCAATGCTGAACATAGGCCTCCCCTAAAGAATGCCACAAAGCACGGTCCTGAGCCACCTGCATCCATCGACTTCCTGCATGTCTTACCAGGTCTTCACTCCATATAGTGGGGGGTCGCCCTACACTACGCCTACCGGTACGAGGCTGCCACTCGAGAACCTTTCTTCCCCATCGGTTATCGGTTCTTCGAGCTATATGGCCGGCCCATTGCCACTTCAGCTTACTAATCCGTTGGGCTATGTCGGTCACTTTGGTTTTGCTGCGGATATACTCATTTCTGAGTCTATCATGCAGAGAAACTCCGAGCATAGCCCTCTCCATAGCTCGCTGAGCGACCTTGAGTTCATGCAGCCAGCAGTGAAGGACCACGTCTCAGATCCGTAAGTCGTCACTGGCAACACGCACTGGTCGTACAATCTAGTTTTCAGAGTTTGAGGTATTCCTGACGAGAAGATGTGTCGTAATTTCCTGAACGCTGCCCAGTGTAGTTGAATCTGTCGATTGACCTCTCGGTCGAAGTTGGAGTTACCTAGTCGGACTATTTGTCCCAGGTAAACGTACTCGTCAACAACTTCGAGCATAATGCTCCCAACAATTACCGGCATAGGTGTGACATGGAAATTAAACATGACCTTTGTTTTGTATATGTTCATCTTAAGACCTATCCGTTGGGAGACACCATTGAGATCAATGAGCATAGTGCTAAGGTCCTCCAGCGATTCTGCCGTAAGGACTATATCGTCGGCAAATCGAAGGTGAGTGATATACTCGCCATTGATGTTAATACCGTATCCTTTAAAGTCCAGTAGCTTGAAAACGTCTTCCAATGCAGTGATGAAGAGTTTCGGGGATATAACGTCACCCTGTCTTATACCTCTCTGCAGTTGGATAGGTTTCGAACTCTGGTTCTGTACTCAAATAGCCATCGTAACCCTACTGTACAAACACTTCAGCACTTAAATGTGCCGACAGTGAACTTGGCACCGCTGAAGGGGCTGTAGCACCTCCCAAATTTCGAGGGAATCAAAGGCTTTCTCATAGTCCCCATACGCCAGGCAAAGTGGCAGATTGTACTCTTCGGTCTTCTGTACAATCTGCCGCAGGGTATATATGTGATCTATGGTACTGAAGCCTTTTCGGAAACCGGCTTGTTCGGGAGGCTGGAAGTCGTCGAGTCTGCGTGCGAGACGATTCTTAATGACTCTCGAAAACAGCACGTAGACGCGGCTCAGAAGGGAAATCGGTCTGTAGTTCTTCAAGAAGCGTTGTCGCCTTTCTTAAAGAGCAAGACCACCGCACTTCTGCTCCACGCCTCTGGAGTAGCGCCACCATGGAGGACGGAATTGAAGAGCTTCTGAAGGACTTTAAGTACCGGTGTTCCACCCGCTTTCAGAAGCTCCGCTGTAATTCCATCCTCGCCTGGGGCCCTGCCGTTTTTAAGGTGCTGGAGAGCCATTCTAATCTCGCTCGGACTAACGTCTGGGATGTCATCGGAATAGTGTGGGATAAGACTTGCTCTTGGATCGCTACTCACACTTGCGTGTGGCTCCAACGATGCCACACGTTTACCGTACGCTAGTAAACTATACCGAATAAAAAAATTCCATTTTGTTATACTATATGTAGAACTAATTGGACAAACCCTAAGAAAATTGAAATAATTTAAAATTTGTATTGTGTTTAATATTCTACTCATTAATCAGTAGCTTATGATATAAAAGCATTGAAGCCCTTGAAAAAGTTTTATTTCTACACATTTACAGGTAAACAATTGGGTGCTGGAGCATTCGGGGTTGTTTATAAAGCAGAAGCTCGTGGAATAATCGATGCCGAAGAAACAACACAGGTGGCGGTGAAAATGGTAAAGAAGACCGCTGATAATATGTATATCAAAGCTCTAGCTTCAGAGCTTAAGATAATGGTGCATCTTGGAAAACATATAAATATTGTTAATCTTCTAGGAGCATGCACAAAAAATGTTGGAAAACGTAAGTTTGAGTCCGTGTGAAGACATTAATTCTATATAAGAATAACATTTTTAGATCCTGTGACGTGATATATTGATAGTGATTTCTTATATTTACGCGAACACTACACATTTAAATAATACTAGTTATTACGGATTTTATCGCGTATATTTAACTTTTTAAATACCCAGACTTTCGAGCGCTTTACAGCACCCATGGTACCCCCCGTGACCTTGGGTGCTGAAAAGCGTTCGAAACGTCCGAGTATTTAAAAAGTTAAATATACGCGATAAAATCCGTAAAAACCAGTATTATTTAAACATAATATTGATTTTAGGCGCCCAAAAAGATAGGTTATATTTTATTAAGTGTGCTGATTAGCTCCTAAAAATTGTCGCGTAATAAGGTAATGTTATTGTCACACTTGATACGAGGAAAATTTCGGGAATCAAGGAAGTGACACAACATTACTATTTAAAAATGTATTTATTGCTTTTCGAAGTATTCCCCGCGAAATTTGACACATTTTTCCATACGATGGAACCAATCATTGAAGCAACCATTCCATTCGGAAGTTGGGGTCTCCAAAATGGCCGTTTTGTAGGCGTCCACAGCTTCTTCAGGTGATGAAAATCTCTGTCCACGCAATTTATTCTTTATTTTAGGGAAAGTATAGAAATCATTAGGGCTTAGGTCGGGGCTGTACGGCGGATGGTCTAATAATTCTATGTTTTCTTGCTCTAAAAACTCTTTTGTTCTGTGTGCGGTGTGAGAACTCGCATTGTCGTGATGGAGGATGATGCGGCGTTTGCAGTTCTCTTTACGGAGTTCAGAAACGACCTGTGGCAAACAAATGCTAGCATACCATTCTGAATTAACCATTATTTGTCCCTCAAGAGGAATATTCATAACATGGCCGGTTTTGGAGACGAACGTGGCCACCATTTTTTTTTGCAACACTCCGTGCACGAACAATTTTTGTTGGCTTTAACTCATTTTCGAATACCCAAATTCGTGACTGGTTTTTTGTTTCGAGTTCGTACGCGTATATCCAGGATTCGTCACCTGATACGATGTTGTATGCATTTTAAGGATCCTGCGTGGAATCTTTCGAGAGTTCTGACGCACCAAGTAACGCGAGCCGATTTGCTCTTCACAGAGCGAATGCGGTATCCATCGGGAAAACAACTTTTTTACACCTAATTGTTCATGCAAGATTACTTGTATTTGGCTCATGCCAATTTCTAAAGTTGCCTGAATTTCGCGGTATGTCTCATGTCGATCTTCCTCAATCAGCTTACGCACAGCATCAACGTTTTCTTGGGTGACTGCAGTTTTTGGACGACCTTGACGGGGATCATCACCGAGCTTGACACGTAGTTGAAATTCAGCAAACCAGCGATAAATTGTTGTTTTGGATGGGGCTTCATCACCAAATGCAGAAATCATCTAGTCAACACACTGTTTTTGTGTTAAACCACTTCGAAAGTCATAATAAATCATCGCTTTTGAATTTTCTCGAGTCAATTCCATTTTCTCAACGACTAAACAGGTTTGACAAAACCTTGTGACAAGACCGAGAATCTTTTTTTAAATAAATAAATGGTATTCGATTTTTAAAACCAAGGAATTTTCAATTAAAAAGATTTTAATATGACAGGAACAGTGGAAATATTCCATTCCCGATACTTTTAGTGCAGCCTAGTAGATAGTTGCCAGCATCGGATGTCTCTTAAATTTGACCTTAGTCCGAGTTTTTCTTGACTTAAGTATCCGCTCCATATACCGCCATCTATTGTAGGCAGGCAATACCCTTCGGTTATTTTATTAACAACCCACAGGGATAAAGACTTATTGATGATTTTTTTATGCCGTTCCTGATGCGAAGTAATTTTTTTATAAAAGTCTGGTGAAAAAACGAGTACATTGTCTATCTGATGGTAATTGGATATTATGTCCCAAAGACATCTACATCTAGCCTCGATAAAGAAACGAAGTGCAGATACGTTATTACCCACGATGGAATGTAATTCATTACTCACCGTACAAAACACAGCAGTATTATGCTGCCATTTCACAGTGGTATTTTTCGCTAGCGTGGTTCTTTCCCGGTCGAGCTGTCTCATTCTTGCTGTTGCTGCTAAAAAGTCGTGACAAATACTGGGTGCGTTTGGCAGAAAAAAGCGCTAGCAAGCGCTTACAAGCGCTGCAATAGTTTTCGGCCAGGACACGATTGATACTTCAGTAGCGCTGACACAATCCGCCATTTTGCTTATTTAATTTGATTGTTTTGAAGTAGAGTTTATAAGTTGTTTTGTGCAATATTAGTTTTAAGTAATATATTGACATGAATAAACATATACATGTTATTAAAAATTCATGATCGGTAAGTTTTTAATATGAATACTTTACAAACATATATTTAAATTAGGTTAGGTTCCCCGGTTAAAACTAACATCGCGTCCTGGAGGAAAATAGCTACTTATGATTTGACAGCGCTTACCGCTTACGATCGCCATTTTGCTTACAAGCGCTTGCTAGCGCTTTTTTCTGCCAAACGCACCCACTGACTTGTGTTTTTGTGATCACTGGACTATGTCGTTAACTCTTTCAGTGCAGAGATATTTTATTTACATCATTTTCCCTTGTATCTAATATATTTTATTTGCATTAAAATTTCCGATTACGAATTTTAGGTGCACATTACATCGTTTGTAAATATATTAATTTTTTGATAAAGTTAAACACAAAAATATGTACCTAAACTATTGGTTTTATTTTCCTTAAAGTGCTGTTTACTACTACCCGTTCTTGTTTTAATTACTACGATAGTAATCCTCAATTTATTTATGTTGGAAGAAAAGGCAAAAAATTTAAACACGTCTTTTATTTAGTTTGCGAGAAATATATACCCTATTTTCAAATAATATTTTATCATTCGTGTGTGTGTGAAGTATTCTGTAATTCTATCTAAATGTGATAGTACGTGCGAATGTAACTTACAACCATCATCATGTTATTTTTATTATTTTCAGGTGAATTGATTGTAATTGTAGAGTACTGTAAATTCGGTAATATTCACAACTATCTGCAGAAGCATCGTGAGGTATTTATTGATCAGCTCACGGATAATAAGGACAAGAATCTTGGTAAAGTCAATAAAGCTTTTTCGTGCAGCAGCGGAAGCAGCGCGTAAGTATATTTTTAAATTCTGTTTATTGTGAATTTTCTTTCCCTATATTTCTTACTATCTTAAAATCCGATGAAGCTGTTAAAGGTCGAGGAATACTTCAGACTTTCTAAATAACGACCAATGATTTTATAAATGAAAATATACACCCTTAAAAAAGTTTGTGATCAGTTTGAAAAATCGAAATGTTTTGTAACAGTAGACTATCATAATTTCTTCTTCTTATTAGATTCTTTACTTCAAAATATTTAGATTATAAAGAAATAAAATAGGCATATGTTTCCTTTAATGTTTTGTTTTTGCACTTACATAGGAAAAACATTTTGCATCAAGTTCACAGCTATGTCAGTCTCATTAGTAACTTCATACGGGTAAGATGATAGATACAAGGCGAAGATTATAATAATAAATAATAATAATAATATTTATTGAATTGAATTAAAGATTAATTAATTGAATTGAAGATTATGTATATATTTTATTGAACAACTATACCGGCAGTTGTGGAGTGTAGTGTGGCCGTTGTTTAGCGAGCGAAGTTCTTGTCATGGGAAGTAATGATAATAATTACGAAATAAGGATTGCATGTTCATATGGTAATTGCTTAATTGGCATTTTAAGAGCTTCATATTCAAATAAACTTTTTTTTAATAATAATGTTTCTCTTTTGTACAGAATGCAATCTGACTACTTCAGCTCAAACCATACGCAAGAAACTGATCATACATTTTTGAATACAGCAAACACGAATAGATCGGGAAGAAAAGGTAACTAATATATTTTTGAAGATAATTTCGACACGTACGTAGTATAGTGGTATAGTATAATAGAATAGAGATTCCATTACCAAAGAGTCGTCTATGGACACTGCCACTAAAATATAATGGTTTCCGACAGATGGTGATATATTCGAACCAGACATAAAATATCCAGATTGCCGACGGGTAGCAGCGTATAAGATGCCAGACGTCCGAATCTGCGATCGTCAATTCGCTGCCAAGTGTGACTATTAACATAAATCCGTCCTACAACAGTAGAGGCCGTTTGATACAACTAGGAAATTACGGCTAGAGATCGTATCACGTAATAATTGATTAAAACTACTTTTACGGATTTTATCGCGTTTATTTTTACTTTTTATTTACTTTTATTTTTAATTCCCGACGTTTCGGGCGCTTTCCAGCACCCATGGTCACGGGGGACTGCGATGACTGACGTCCCGATGTCATTGTTAAACCCGGAGTACCTTCAGCTTTTTTAATTATTGTTTATGGTCCGATCTATGCAAAATGAACTGACTATGTCTTGAGGTCTTGCAGTGGTATGCTTGGGTTTAGTTTTAATTTTATTGATTATAGGATCCCAAGCAGGTGGTAGTACCCAGCCCCTTCTCTATTGAAATTAGGATGTTTTTTAATTTCAATAGCCTCACGTATCATCCTTGGTAGGAATCGGTGTTCTTTCGCGAGGATTTGTGGTCTATCAAATCTGATGTAATGGTTGACATCGGGACGTCAGTCATCTCAGTCCCCCGTGACCATGGGTGCTGGAAAGCGCCCGAAACGTCGGGAATTAAAAATAAAAGTAAATAAAAAAGTAAAAATAAACGCGATAAAATCCGTAAAAGTAGTTTTAATCATGTATAGTGTTCGCGTAAATATAAGAAATCATTACGTAATAATTGTTTGGCGTTGAGTGTTCATTTATGCATTCTGCCATTACAGCTTATTAAGGTCCAGTTGGCAGGAAGTTATAATATGTATATATTTACTACCCTTTAACCATATTTTAGTTACACAGAGTTCAAAAACTTTATTTAACTAAATTTGTATGAAAAGGGTTATTATAATATTAAGGAATTTATGGATAATAATAACCCAAAGGAAGGGTGATCGTTACCAAGCTATTTCTAATTTGTTTTGTGTTGTTAATTGTAATATACATGATTGTAAGCTGTTATTTTAAAACAAATTTCCCGCTGGGTTTCTTGCTGGTTCTTCCTAGTTCAGAGGTTTTTTAACCAGTGGTAAATGAAAAAAAAGTGACTCAATAAGTACATACATAAAATACATAAGCACTCACGCCTGTCACACAGAGGGGTAGTCAGAGACTACAGACTTCCATTTGGCACGATCCTGATACACCTCTCTCGCCTCCTTCACATCCATACACCTACGCATACATGCTCGTCGGTTAAGGGTACTCCTAATTTGACCCGTTTTTAATAAATCGCCAATTTGGTCGATAAATTTTCGCTAGGACGTCCCTTTCCTACTCTGCCATTCACTTCTGCAACATAAATTTTCTTTGTCACTCTTTCCTCATTCATTCTTTCCACATGACCAAACCACCGAAGCATTCCTTTCTTCTCTTATTACACAATTTCTTACCCTGTCATTCAGATTTAGCCCTAACATACTCGTTAACGACCGCATTTCTACTGCGTTCATTCTACTCTTGTGCTTCTTCTGCTACACCCAACTTTCACTACCATACGTTAAAGTAGGGACCAACACAGCATTGTGATTTGCCATACGTGCCTTTTTCGACACATTTTGACTCTTCACAATAGAGTGCAGGAATAGGTAAATGGGGCATTTACTCTATTTCCCGCATTCACTCGTCGTTCTATATCCTTATCATATCTCCCATCCCTGCTAAATCAATAAGTATTATTTATACTCGTAATCCATATTGAATAAAAAAGTTTCTGTTTCTCTTAACTACAAACTGTATTATAATATCTACTAAATTGTCCGATTCTGTCCACGATCGTTAGTAAACTCATATTTTCTTTTTTAAATTCGTATTTTGTTTTTTCACTAAATCCAATGCCAATAGATAAATATTTAAATGGACCGGTATGGAATGGATCGGTGGCCCAGTGTTGGCTGTTTGATTGCGTTCGAATTCCATACGGAACAAGTATTTGTATGGTCTAATAAATGTTCTGGGGTTTGGATATACGTCCATGTGCAAAATATTCAAGAAAGAAACTCATAAATACTAAGTTGCAAATCTTTGGATGGCATTCTAGGTTGATTAAAAATTTATTCAAATCCACAAAATTGTCTGTTTTCCGCACCGAATCTGAACTTTCTTAAGATGAGAATAGATGTTAGTGTCTATAGACTGCAGCCTCCATTTGTCTTTTGGCGAACAGCGTTCTCGTTTAAAACACAATATTTATTTAAAAATAGTCATTATCAGTAGAATATATCTAAAACAAATTATTTATCTATGGAGTCGGTATTTTGTGAAAATATATAAAGGAAAGGGCTGATGGACGGAAAATTTGAATTTGAAAAATTTGGAGAAAAATATACCAAAAGTTCCATAACTTAACCGAGAATTGGTGTGTAACACCCCTCCCCCCATCCTACCAAAGAAATCACGACCAATATGTTGAAAATAACCTCAATAACATAATTTGACATTATACTCTTTTAGTAGTATGGCTGAAATAGTTCTTATTTCATACAGTCGTAATTTTTCTACCTACACATTTGTATATTTAATCAGAGATGTAATCATAGATTATTAATTATTGGATGTAATATTTTTACAGTATCAGAGACGGGTTACGTTCAGCCCGAATGGCGTTCTAACTACGAAAGTGATTACAGTGATGGTCGAGCACCACGACCACTCTTTTCAAGGGATCTCCTAGCTTGGGCCTTCCAAATCGCCAGAGGAATGGAGTATCTCGCAAGCAGAAAGGTAGACAAAAATAATCCCTTGGCTAGAAGTAACAAGACATCCAGATTTTGATCCTTAGTCAAATATAAATTAGGATAACTATAGGTCATATCACCCACTTACCATCAGTCGAAACGTATTCTCGTTTGTCACACTTCATTCTACAAATAATATAATAATCTATTTCTTACAAAATATCTACTGGCAGTTCTTGTAGTATAATACGAAAGATTTTTTTTTAATTTGCATTTATGGAAATTACCCCTGGCGACCGACACTTCAAACTTTCTATTACGACCAGTCCGACGTCTATATCATGTTTGCTACTTCTTACTGACAAACTAAAATCCATTGAATATTTGAAAATAGACATAAACATTTCAGAGATCTTTAATTACTCCTTGTAGTCTTGTAGTCAGCTGTTATATTTCTTATTCTATTTGTTCCACTTCTTTGTTTTTAAAGGAATGGAACGTATTTCGTTATGTTCCTAGTCCGTGAGATATGTTCTTAAATGTTGATACACTAATGTAATAGTTTAAAAAATAATAGTATATATTATAGTTTAGGAAGATAATAATCCAAGGTTTTATAGTTTTTTTTGTTTTGATTAATTATTTTTATTCGTATATTTTTAACGTCAAGGAAATAAAAAAATGTTTCATCTATAGGTCTTGCACGGAGATTTAGCGGCGAGAAACATATTACTGGCAGAAGATAATATTGTAAAAATTTGCGACTTCGGTCTTGCACGGAGTATTTACAAGAATGACGAATATCAAAAGAAAGAAAATGTAAAGTATTCCATTGTAAAATTAAAAATATTTCAAATAACATCACGTCTATTATTTAAGAGTTAAAAGTTAATAAAAAATATATACACATACAATTTATGGTTTGCATGATTTTAAAGTTTTTATGGAATCCCTTTAAGCCTATTTTTCGAAAATATCTTTCTAATCTTAGAAAGCCTAACAGTTTTTGTAATTTATTTTTAAGCAAAAAATATTTATTAATCATAAAAACTTAAATATTTTTACAGAGTCCTTTACCAGTAAAGTGGTTGGCAATCGAATGCATGACTGATCGAATATTTTCTACTCAGTCAGACGTGTGGTCTTTTGGCATTGTCCTTTGGGAACTATTTTCGCTTGCTAAGACGCCGTATCCGAATATAAGTCCACCGAGCCTGCTACAATGGTTGTCTGCGGGGTATGTTTACAAAATTAAGATAACTATGAAATTATTTATTATCTACGATCTACCAAAAGATATGAAAATTTTGACAAAATATATCTCAATGTAAAGTTTTATATCAATTTCTATAGCTAAAGAAAATCTAATTTTACTTGTTTATAATGTTTGTACAATTAATTTTAAATTTCTACAGGCATCGATTAGAGAAACCCGCTTACGCAGATGATCGTTTATATGATGTCATGCTTCGTTGCTGGGCTTCAAAACCCACTGAGCGTCCTTCTTTTACACAGCTTCAGGAAATACTTGGCGGATTCCTTGAAGATAACGTCCGAAATGTAAGTATTACATTATAGGAATGGTTGAAATACCAGTTACTCGATGTTTAACATATAGGTACAGTGAAACAGATACATAGACAAACAATATTAATAAATTCGTTACCATCTAATATCTCATTTCTTTATTAAAGCTTTAATCACAAAACGCGATTACTTTCTTCCAAATTTCCAAGCTATACGAGTACTAATGAAACACGTTTCTATGACTATACTTCTAGTGCTACACCGGCTGCCCATATGAAATTTTTTCGCGGGACTTTCAATCCTTTGTATTCGGTAACTTTTAAATTTTTCGTTTAAAATAGGCAAATTCGAGTAATTTTGGCATAAGTCTTATACATATTGGGTGGATTACTATACATTTCAGAGGTTGGAACTAAAATTACTACTCGAATTTACTTTAGAGGTGTACGTGAGGTAAAAAAGTCTAGGTATTAATACGTACAATTTTTATTTATTTGTTTAATCTTCACAGTAATACCCCTTAATCTAAAGGTTATAATGGGTAGACTTAATGCCTTATGGTATTCTCTACCAGTTAACCCTGGGACAAACATATACTATGTTGTTTGTATACATATGTTGTTTTACTTTATTTATCTAATTCATCAGGGCAGCTTTTATAAAAAGACATCCGTCTTTGTATATATATGCTGATCTTAATTTATAGTTTTATCACATTATATCTATAGTTTTGTTCTATGCACTTACAGATGAAACATACCATCACAATATTATTTAAACTTGATATTTTTATACAATGGGCAATTAGGTACATAATATATACTTTATTATTTTAGCACTACGTTGATCTTAACTCTGCATACATGGATATGAATATTAAAACAGAAGGCCAAGAAGATTACTTAGCCATGGTGTGTGCTCCTGATTATAACAATTTAGTAACGCCAAGTCCTCACCACTACGTAAATGATACCAGGAGCTTCTTCCCACCCACTCCTACACAATTACAGCATGGTAAATATGACACTTTGTACTAGAACTAATTAACAAAGATTGTTTTACCTTTTATAAAGGCCAAGTGCTCGCTTAATATCTATCGTTAGCCACTTTTTTTTAATATTTAATACTTCTTTAAATTATTATTTTTTTAATGACAAGCTACACAAAACCAAAAGTTTGACAAAGCTATAAAGAATGGATGGGTGCCGTTTGCTCTGATAAGTAACAGGCTTCCTTAATAATAATATAAAAACTAGTTTTATTTATTAAATTTGCCCTGCCATAGTGGCTTCAGGGAATCTATAGCATTATATATGTCTTTTCAGTTTTTGTGTATGCCCTGAAACTTATAATGCTGTAGCAACTCTCATTAAAACAGACGAAAATAATGAAATCATAATAAGGGTTGTTATACAAACAGCGTTACCCTAAAACATTTGTAGTTTTTTTTTCTTTCATCAGTCCTATCTACCATATTTATTAATTAGTATATCTTTTTGTGGGGTTATAAAATGTATCTATACCCTGGCAAAAATAAATATTTCTTAATGTTGAAATTATAATTTGAATATCAATAAAATTCGCTATACAAAAATACTTATTAGCGTTGTATAATAAAACAACAATAATTTTTTTTGCTAAGCTATTCCATTCAATCAACTTTTCCTTTTATCAGACGAAATGGAAATGACTACAATCTGATTCCACGAATCAGTTTCCTTAATTGGTACGGTAAAAAAATGTTTAAAGCATGACCTATTTGATGTGACTAACCGAGTATAGTTATATGATATTTATACTCGATATGAAAAAAAAACTTCCATTAATTAGCACATTTGTAAAATGTCCTTGTCGGTGAATGCTTTAAGAAGTTAATCGGTGTTCTCGCTATTTATGTTTACTACTTTTAGGTTATAATTATGCGATATGTCAATGACATTGTATAAATTTTCAGATGACGAAGGTTATTTACAAATGAGCCCTGCAACAAATCAGAATACATTTAGCCCTCGTGCAGCTAGCACCAAATTTGATTTTGACGCTAGGAAATTAAACCCTTGTGCTGAAGCAACGACGTATGGTTCGGAACTAACTCCCATGTTGACTCTAAATAATGTAGCAGCAAGAAGTGGATCAGAATCTGATCATGATGGTAACTCTTCACCATATCTGAACATGTGTCCTCGTATAGACGAAGAGGCAGACGAAGTATTTGAAACTAAACAACAAAACCTTAAGAATACGCAAAACAGTGCCGTTACGAATCCTACTTACATTACATTTGATGTTGACCTCGAAAAGAAACCGAAGAATATAATATCTAACAATTACATTAATGTGAACGTACCCAATGGTCTAGTCAAATAAAACCATTGTAATGAATAGTTGAATAATATTGTGTATTTATCATTGGATAAATTATTATAACAAACTGTCGTTATAAAATAGTTCTTTTGATCTCCGTAACTTTTCTTAACTTTTTTTGTAATAATCTCATTCTTTTTCGCAACTGATTTAGTTATGATGACAGTAATCTCCAATGCACACTATACGAAAGTTGTTTTCTTACGGTTTCTTCGTTGTTATTTTCTTGCATTTAGTAATATTTTCTATTTCATTTTAGGTATGTTGCTGTTTGTTTAGAATGATGGAGTTATAAAAGAGATGTGATATTTTATTTTAAGAAATGAATGAGAAAAAAAATAGTAATAGTTAAGGTTTTATTTGTTATATTTAGATTTAAATGAACCCACCACTATTTTTCTTTTATATTGCGCTCGATTGGATTTCATCCAAATGTTTTAATTTTGAATACGACTAAGTAAATAATAAACTTGTGCTAAATTGAGTTCTTCACTAGCAAAATATTATGCAATTTTTGTACTCGATTACAAATTTATCATACAAGCTGCGGGACTGATTTTCGTGAACTCTCGTAGGGTGTGTTACTTTCAGAGAAATTGGAATGTTTATCACGTTTAATCGTGCATCAGTAAAAAATTACCATTACTTCCTATTTATCACTTTTATTATTCTTAGTAACACAAAAATTTTATTTCATATTGAGGGAGATAAAATACAAATCTATCTTATCGATTCATTAATTATAGCATATAATTATAGCATGTTGAAAAAACCAAGACCTGAGACGTGTAAAAATCAGGGAGGATTTTCAATGGGAAATATACCCTTGCCCAACAGTAAATTATGCTGTTGGAGATAAAGATTTATTTAACATAAAAGTAAAATCTTTTTTTAAATCCTAAACGTGAGAATACTACAGTAAGGTATTAATTTGTAATTAAGTCTATTAAATGTCGCAAATAATATGCTGTTTCGCATTTATTGTATTCTAATTTAATTTTTTTATCAACTACCGGTTCGTATCTTAACTTTGCAAAGTATTGGATACTATTTTTCCAATTTTTGAATCGCTGAACTCATAATTCTTGCTCTTTTCTTTGCCATTAATAAAATATGTTAAAATACGCTGCGTGATAATAAACAGCATTAGCTGCACTACTGAGCGAATGCATTCTACAAAAGGGCATTTTTGTATGAGTAAGGTAATATGGTTGTCTTGAGCTTTGTCGCTCTATAAAACAAAAACTAGAAGGAGATCGGAGACAAAAACACAAGGTCGTATACTATAGCTAATATATTAAAAAAATAGTAAACAAGCTTTGGCAAGAAATACTTTGAAAAATTATAATAAAAAAAAAACGAACTACACTACGCAATACTAAAATCACTAAAATATTTATTATAATGTCTATTGTCAAAATGGAATCGATAAAGCAGCGTCCTTTTGACCCTTCATTGTTTGATTGACTGATGAAAAGCTATCGTATCACAGAGCCTTCTATGCAAACAAGGCTGTGGTTTTCAAGTTATAGGAGTGACTATACTAACCGGATGATCATATTATCCTCGCGTACTATAATTAGTAGCCCTGAATTTGCAGCTAACGTGATAAGCAACTCCACTATAATATTTAAAAAATCCCTTCTTTTAACGGCTTTATAAACTTGATATTCAAGTTTGAGCTTTTTTCGTATTATGTAAGATTTATTTTTTCAAATGTGTGTATATACCTAAATATGAAAACATAGTAGAAAATTATCCTAAGGATTAATTACTTTATTAGAATGAATAAATTATAATGATTATTTAATTAAAACATATAAAAGTAGTTTATATTTGTAATTATCTGTTGTACACGTATTGCGCTTGTATTATTCAAATGATCTATATACTGTTTTATAGTTTTTAATGGTTAAAAATATTTTTGATGTACGTATTTATGTAAACGCCATACATAATTAACTCAGTAAACGTAACAAAATAAATGTGATATTACACACACATCGATTGGTTTTTTTATATTAAAATTATACGGTTTAACTGAAGATTCGATATAATATAAAATATTCCAGTAAACTATTAGAATTTAAAAAGCGGTCTAGGTGCGACCCGAAAGGTCCACACGACTAATTAGCTAACTAACGACTAACTCTCCAGTGAAAAGAATTAAAAAATATCATATGTTTTAATATTATATACAGTTTTTCATTCGACACAAAAAATGACTTGACCGATTTTATTCAAAATTTAATGAGATCTAAGTTAAATAATTATACGTTAAATGAAACTGGTCCCATTTTATACGTGGTAGAGCCATACTGTAGTTATATTAGTAGTATAGTTGTAGCACGAATGGGTCGGCTCGACCGGGGAAGGACCACGCTCTCACTGAATATCAGCGTAAAATAGTAGCTTAATGCTGCTGTGTTTTGTATGGTAAATGTAGAGAACCGGATACCCTTTTTACTGGAAACGAGGCATTCCATCTTAGTCCTCACGAGTGACAACGCATCTGCATTTTGATTTGTAATCGAGGATAGATGTAGATGTCCATGGGCCGCAGCAACCACTTACCATCAGGTGGACTGTGTGCTCGTTTGTCACCCTATCCTATAAAAAAAGTCAATATGACTCCTTGTTCTAGAGATAAACGATGTGAAAATTGAATCCGAACATACATACATATGTACATGTACACACACGGACATCCTTTTAAAAACCATACTATTCGTTGAATAAAACTAAATTTACGGATTATATCGCGTTTATTTAACTGATTTTACTTATTTTTTTTAATTCCACGGTCCAGCAACCATGACCACGGGGAGGACCCCCCCGTGACCATGGTTGCTGTAAAGCACCCGAAACGTCGGGAATTAAAAATAAGTAAAATCAGTTAAATAAACGCGATAGAATCCGTAAATTTAGTTTTATTCAATGTGTAGTGTTCGCGTAAATTTAAGAAATCCTTACCATACTATTCGACTCTAAAAGACCTTGAAACGTGGATATATGTTAAAATTTCCAATTTGAAAAATCGGACCCATTACTTTAACTTCCCACTGGGAAGTTAAAAAAATAGTCCCGCTGTGTAATCGATTATTTCCACGAAAAAAGTTTATCGCGAACCAGCAAACGAGTAAATGAAATTAAAGTAAAAGTCAGGTTATATCGTGACATGACGCGACGCGACGCGGCTTGCTCTTTATAAGATAGTGATACAAAATATAACTTTATTTACTACATTGAAAGGTACATATATCTTATTGAGATAATTTTAAAATGCCCCGCGGTGTCGCGCTACGCTGCGCTGCGTCTCGACGCTTAGCGCGACGTATCACGACGCAGTGGTGCTTCGTCGGTAGGCGCAGCCTGCAGGAACGGTACGTTAGCAACGACTTCACGATGCGCCGCGCGATGTCGCAATGCGTCTCGTGGCGGCGCGCTGCGTGGTGTGAAACCACTGGTCTCTTTAAGCATCGTCGCGTCACACATCTTAAAGAAATATACATATATTGTACGGAGGACAGCAGTCAAAACTAGGTACAAACCTGTATTTGTATTGTATTATGTGTATTGTATTATGTGTAAATACAGATAGAAAGGTATTAAATACAGATACAAGCCCATTAACGCTGGTGTTCCACAAGGCTGCATGCTATCACCAACGCTGTTTCTTCTGCATATTGTGACGGCCCAATATTATTATTAATAATTAATAATAATATAAAGGGGCGTCCAAAATAGTCTTAAAAGATATATATTAAGCAATTAAGTTAAATTAATAAACATAAAGTTAATATATTTCAGACATTATCCCAATAACATAGTAAATTAAAGGTAAAATTATTGTTTTTCGTAATAAATAAATTTATTTAAAAAGTTGAAAAAAATATATTTAAAATAAGATAAATAATAGAAATACAAGTCAAAAAATATTATAAAAATTAAGTTAAATAACGTTTATAAGATAATTAGAAAATTTGTTAAAAATTGTTTAAGTCATGGGAGGTGTTCGTGTATAAAAGAAAATTTTTCTAAGTTGTGGAAGGAGTTCACGTATAGATGAAATTTCCTAAGTTGTTGAAGGAGTTCATGTATTAAAGAAAATTTTCCTAAGTTATGGAAGGTGTTCACGTATAGATGTCTTGTATGGAGGAAGCTGTCGGAGGTACATACCTGCAGTTGTACATATATATGGGGTGGTCGGGAGCCCGACTGCCTGAAGTACTGTAGCACAATGACTAGTCCTATATTAGGGACTTATGATATTAAACTCAATGATACAAAAGCAATACTATAGAAGGTCTCCATGATGAATTTGTATTACAATAGTAGGGTCGTGGGTTCGAACCCTATATATTAATGACTTATGAAAGTAAGGTCTATGATACAAAAGCAATACTATAGAAGGTCTCTATGATTAATATGCATTACAATAGTAGGGTTGTGGGTTCGAACCCTATATATGAATGACTTATGAAAGTAAGGTCTATGATACAAAAGCATTATTATTGAAGGTCTCCTTGATGCATAAGCATTGTATGGGGTGGTCGGGTGACTGACTGCTCCTAGTACTGTAGCAAAATGACTAGTCCTTATTAGGGACTTGAAAAGGAATATTATGGTGGCGTGTGTTCTGCTTCACGAGCAATTGGTCCGAGGTAAACTTGGACTCGCTAACCGATGTGTCCTAGACATATCATCTTAGTGCCGGTGGTAAGCGGGTTTGTTGTAGCAACACGGCTTTCCCGTGGACATCGCACACCCATACCGGTTGTGGGCGGCGTCATAGCGCATAGCGATGCGTCGTCTATCTTTCGGATTGGGAAGATGAGTGTGTTTGGTAGCACTTTTAAGTGTAACAGGCATACTCAACTTCATGTCTTAGTGCATTAGCGCTATGATACATGGAGTTTTGTCCACTGGCGTCTTAGTAGCGTGCTACTATGATACGTTGGTGCAGTTTTATATAACAACAATCTTAGTGCCGGTGGTAAGCGGGTTTGTTGTAGCAATACGGCTTTCCCGTGGACATCGCACACCCATACCGTTTTGGGCGACGTCGTTGCGCATAGCGATGTGTCGTCTATCTTTCGGATGGGGATGAAGAGTGTGTTTGGTAGCACTTTTAAGTGTAACAGGCATACTCAACTTCATGTCTTAGTGCATTAGCGCTATGATACGTGGAGTTTTGTTCATTGGCGTCTTAGTAGCGTGCTACTATGATACGTTGGTGATATTTTTTATATAACAACAATACGAACTTTGTTACCAAA